GAGAACAATAAACTCAAACATAGAATTGATAAGCATAGAGCCTGTGTTATATCTGCAGCCGCCTCCACCACCTTCCATTGCAGAGGCCTTGGCTGTTGGTAAACCCCACTCCTTCCTGTTCTCTGCTTGAGACACATAATGGTTTAGTCTCCTGAAGACTGGGATATTTTAGTCTAATCCTTGTTATTTGGCTTAATTTAGGAGTAACTGAGTGGGGATTAGTGGCCTCTGTCGTGCAGTAGGTCAGACTAAAAAAGATTTTCAAACTTAATTGCACCGTGACCCCCTTCTGACAACAAAATATACTACACAACCTCGGGGGGAGGTGGGAGGGGAGGAGGCTGAGCCTACCTAAACCCCACAGCCCCAGATGATAGGGGGGCCAAAACCAAAGGGCTTCAGCCCCAGGCGAGGGGCCTGTAGCCTGAGCACTGCCACCCAGGGCTGAAGCCCTCAGGCTTCGGCTTCAGCCCCGGGCCCTACCAAGACTAATGCCAGCCCTAGCGACCCCATTAAAATAGGGTCGTGACCCACTTTGAGGTCCTGACCCACAGTTTGAGAACCACTGGACTAGATGATCTGGTAGTCCTTTCTGGTCTTCAACTCTACAGGTATGACTACAAGCAATTAAAAACCCGTGGCTGGGTTGTGCCAACTGACAGGCTGGCAGGGCTCAGGCTAACGGGATGTTTAATTGTAGTGTAGACGTTTGGGCTCGGGCTGGGGTGAGGTGAGGTGGGAAGATATTTGTGTTACAACACCATCACTTGTACACATTTACATAGTACACACTTCAGTCTAACATACACTGGACAAAAAAGGAGAATCCAGAGTAGTACATTTTTCTCTTTGCCTGTACACCACTGAAAAAAATAAAATTAGTTCTAAAAAAGTTTAGCTCTCCATCAAAGTTCTTTGAAGAATTGTCAAGGGACTCAATTTGTAGACTATGATTTGCATTTTTCCTGAACAAACCTCACTATTCCTTGACAATGACCTGCAACTGGGTTCACCTGACAATGGCCCCCTCTAAAGATCTGACTGTAAGATTGCGGCTTGTATCTCTCATCTGCCTATGGTCCTTTCTAACAAAACTAAGGAGACAAACTTAATTGCCAGACAGTGGCAGGATCACATTAAGGACTGTTTACCAATTTTTCTTTGGTCGAGATACCTTATATCTGGAAGTAAATTTCATTTGGAATGTTTAACTGGTTTTCAACCACAAAATAACTGCTCCCTATCAGTCATAGTTTTATGGCTAGGTCTCTGTCACCACAGTATCACATTTCAATACTAAAAAATGTGATCCTAGAGAACTGAGAGGGACATTACCTTTAAAATGTGTTTTAGAGGTATAGTTCATTTTGTCTACATCAACAGTAAAAGCATATTCATAAATGTAGATTCCTGTTCCAAATACTGTAAATCTAGCTATGAATAAAACTAACTGCACTGCATACACTTAAAGGTAAGGAGAAGATAAAATCCACAGTATGTAGGCAAGGTATATTACCAGAATTTAATCTCAACATTTTTCTATCACCAAATTTTGTTCCAAATGCTGATTTTCTCCCCTCCCTTAAAAAAAAAAAAAAAGTTACCTGCCAATTTCTCTCTCTGGTTCTAATCCCGTTTGCCTGTATCATTTCTACTTCCAAAGCTAGAACTGCTGTCATCCAAAATTAGATCTTGAACAGCTGCTCAGGATTTATTTTCTTCATTTTTATATTCCACAGTATTTACTTATAAAACAGGAGTTCATTCCAAAGCAAGTATTTTAGAAATCAAAATTTTTACCCATTTATATTAAACAAAATTAAACTGAATAAACTTTGGACAAGATAGACCATAACCATTTTTTTCTCCCATCACAACGGGAGTGGAAGTCCTTGCGCCCCTTTATGACTTGTTTGCATATTCACAAAGAAAATGACTATTTAGATAATTGCCCTTTGGGCTCTATATCAAATGTAACCAGACAGATTCATAATTGTTTAACTGTAGCTATCTCTTCTTTCTCCTTTTAATTTTCAAAGCTCCCTAGCAATCTCTTTTTTCCTACTTCTTCCTCGATTTCTGAGATATTAGTCCAAGGCTTCTGAAGGGTCAGTGCACAAAGCATGTCTCAGTTTTTAAAAAATTGTGAACTAACTTTTGACAGGACTTCCTCTCAAAACACATGATGGAAACAGGTTATAGACGTGCTTCATATGATTAATTCTGGAGTGAAAAAATTGGGCTTATGGACAACACTGCACCAAGCAGAAGATGTGAACAAAAACATACCACAGAGCAGCACCAGTAAAGACAGTTATTAGCAAATATTGAGGCCTTTTCAGTATATTCATTGTTTTGAGAAAGCTTGCTAGCAGAGACACTGGGGAAATATCAAAATGCAGAATATCAAAGGGCTGGATTAGCCTCACCTCTGATACATGGACTATATAGACCAGACAGACTGAAAGAATTGGTGTTAGTAAAATGTAGCACAGCAAACTTACTGCCATTATGAAAAGGTGATAATAAGAGTTCTTTGCATCAGCAGAACTGGGGGAAGGCTGTGAAGACTTTTTGCTTTTCTGCACTGAACACTGTTGATTTTTTTTAAAAAAATCAACTTGTTTCAGTTATTTAAGGTATCAAGGGCCCTTGGGCATTTGTCTTGTTCTTACACCCCAGAATTTCAGGCTTTGGAAAGTTTGTTTTATTGAAAATAACAAACACATCCTTCTGACAAACATCTTAGTGATGAGATCTTTATTGTAAGGGCCACTCATACTCCTATACAAACACATTCCAAGAGAACAGAACTATTGAAAGTGAAACCTAGAGCAGACAGGCCACACAGCTGAAATAAACAGCTAGGGCAGGGGTTCTCAAACTGGGGGTCAGGATCCCTCGGAGTCACGAGGTTATTACATGGAGGGTCGCAAACTGTCAGCCTCTACCCCAAACCCCGCTTTGCATCCAGCATTTATAATGGTGTTAAATATATAAAAAAGTGTTTTTAATTTATGAGGGGGGTCGCACTTAGAGGCTATGTGAAAGGGGTCACCAGTACAAAAGTTTGAGAACCACTGAGCTAAGGTAATCGACAGATTGTGTGTGACTATGAGAAGTAGTGACTCAAAGCTGGTTGTAATTCACACCTTTTGTTACTTCAGAGCAAATCTGTGTATAGACTCTTATTGTGGACTACATCAAAACAGTACACTCTCAATCCAAAAGAAGTGTCAACACACAGATTTGCACTAAAATAATGGGAGGTTTTAATTACAACCAATTTAGTTATTTTGGTTCCAGTCTGTGTATAGACAGGACCGAAGTAAAAGGTAAGCTAAACTGAAAACAGTTTACTTGACAACTGTCTGAAAACTAAATGACAAGACGAACCATTTGGGGCATCCAGACTATGTTATTCCTGGTCTAGATGACAACCAGGGATGAGTTTAACAACACTAATACCAAACCTTACCTTTGTCTCAATCACAAAATATACCACTCCCTCTCCCACACTGGAATTCCTACAGTATATGAGCACTACAGTTGGCTGGCAACCCTTCTCATGTGTGTCAGAAAACAAGGCAATGAATCAGCAAATAAGGCAGAATGGAATCACTTTAAAGGGTCACACTGCAAGCACCCTATACAACCAGAGTAGCATCTTGGAGACTGGGGATCCAAACCAAAGAAGCTCACGCAGCAGGAAAGTGATAATGTTGATATGAGGTGGTAATAGCAGAACACAGAGGAATGTAACTTACTGTATTATCCCAGGACACCAGGTCCATTGTACTTACTTATGGGAACCAGAAAATCAGTATCTGAGCCAAAGCCTGTCAACAGTATCTCAATTGCTATAACATGCCTGAGTCCAGACCTTTTGCCACATGCCCCACCAGATCATCACCTGTTTTCCCCTTTCAAATCACTTCTTAGAAGCCCACTTGATCTACACTGTTTACCCCAACTATAGCTTCTTGTCCATTACCTCTACTATACTTATTTGTGCAGTTACTATGAAGTCCTTGCAAAAAAATTGGTGTGTTTTAAGTGTATTTTACCTACCCTAAAGGGCAGCAAACAAAGTTCTCTATATAAACAATACTAATTTGTAGATGTACAGGACTGATATATTCACATAAGTCTCTCAAATATCATAAAGGTAGAATACTGGTTTCCTGTAGCCCATGAATTTAGCAAGACTTTTATTCAGAGAAATAAATGAATGATTATACAGAAGAATCTCACTAACTCACACAAGTGAAGACCCATTGTCAGTTACAGACTTGTGAATTAGCAACAGAACATGTGCCCTAAAACCATGCTAATGTATCATTAACTATACTTTGTTCATTCATTTTCACTGTTTAATTTTAATGAAATGTGATGCAAAATATTTGTAAATATCTTATTGAGTATCATACTGTGAAGATAATGAAGTCAGAAATGTGGCAATGTACAATAATCTCTGCTAACAAAGCTCTGATGAGAGATAAGGAGAAACAATTTCTTTTTCTGCCTTCCACGAGGTGCCAAATGCCCTTAGCAAAGTACCATGTGCTGGACTGGTCAAAGCGGGGTGGGGAGCGGGGTGGGCGGTCGGGCTCCTGGGCTCAGTGCGCTCCGGGAAGGGGCTGGTGCCTGACGCTTGGGGGGAGGAGGGCTCTGGATTCCCAGGTTTCCAGCCGGGCTCTAGCTGTTCGAGCGGGTGGGGGCAGACGGAGACTGGGGCTCCGGACTCCTGGGTGCTGCCCTCAATGCCGGGAGGGGCGCGGGGTCGAGTGGCCTGGGGGTGGGGAAAGAGGCGCGGCCCGGCTCTTCCCAGGGCCCAGCAGGCGGCGAGCCGCAGCCCCCGGGCTCGGGCTGTGGGACGCGGCGTGCCCCAGCACAGAGCCGCGCTCATCCCCGGGGCAGCCTGCCTGAGTCCGGGGAGCGGGGCCGGCCGGGTTCGGGGCGCGCGGCGCAGCTGGGACCCGGGACCCTTCCCCACTTACAGGCCTCGCGGGCGCTGCAACTCCTGTGGGGCCGGGTCCCTCTTCCTGCCCCCGCCGGCGGGGCCGCTTCCGGGGCCGCACCGACTCCGCCGACACCAGGTAGCGGTATGGACACGCTAACCCGGAAACACAACCTCCCGCCGGAAGTGACGGAGGTCAGGAAAGCATGTGCACATGCCGGCGGGAGGGGGGGATGTTGTGCCGGGGGCATGCGCCTGCGCTGGTAGCGCGCGGTGTCCGCGCGGCCAGGGAGAGCCGCTGCGGCCTGCGCGCGCTCCGATCGCCTGCTGGCTCTGCGGCGGGGTGCTAGGGCCTAGCCAGTCAGAGCCCCTGATTGGCCCTGTCCCCTCGGCCCGCTCCGGGCGCTAGCTGTGCAGATAGCCCCGCGGGGGTCCACAGAGGCCGTTTGCCGCCGCACCTGTGTAGGTGGGTGTGTCCATCCTGCTGGGTGGTTATCTGCATCTCTAGGTGCCGAACTACCTGCATCGCCTACAGGGGCTAGTGTTCCACAGGCTAGAAAAAAGAGACAACGTGGGTGACTCTAGGGAAAGTGCCAGCTGTCATAATTTGCATAAATAAGAAAGTGAATGAATAATTCTGGCATCAGAAAGAACCAACAAAGACAGCCAAGAAAATTGTGTCTTTAGAATGATCTTGCATCCACCTTGGAAACAGGATACAGGTTTCATTTAGTGGGGTTTTCAATACCTATCTCTCTGGGGAACACAGGACTTGCCACCCTGCATTGGACCTGGGGTCCACCTGGTTCAGTACATTGCCTCCAACAGCGACCACAATCAGATGCTTCAGGGGAAGGTGTAAGAATCTTGCTGGGGTTTTCTATAGTACCTATCATCATAACTGATCATGACTTCCCATGTAAATTACATCTGCACTGTGAGATTCTGCATGCACTTTGTTAATTTTCTGTTGTCCCTGTCATGATAAAAGAGGATTTACTCTGGATATATTTTGTTATTCCTTTCTTACTTTCTGTCACACATTAATCTAGGGTTATTGTGGCAAAACTTGTAAAAAAGGATGGTTTTGCAATGTGTCTTGAACATGGTCAGACTCTGTAGAGGAGATCAGGCCAATCCAAACTCATTTTACATCCTTCAGTCTTTGGTTTTCATATGCTTCATTTTGGGCTTTGTGGGCTCTGTTTTTTCAGAGAAGTGCAGATGTCAGATCCCTTGTCTACCCTAGAAAGGGTTTGCTGGTAGAGGAAGTGAAGACACAACTTATACAGCCAAAAGATTTATTTTGCTTGTATTCTTTGTATCAGTTCTTCAACCAAAATAAGCTATACCAGCAAAAGGACTACAGTATAACCTCAGAGTTACAAACCCCTTTTGAATGGAGGTTATTCATAACTCTAAAATGTTCCTAAACTCTGAACAAAACGTTATGGTTGTTCTTTCAAAAGTTTACAACTGAAATTGACTTAATAGAGCTTTGAAATTTTACTATGCAGAAGAAAAATGCTATTTTTAACGATCTTAATTTAAATGAAACAAGTACAGAAACACTTTCGTTACCTGGTCAAATCTTTTTTTTAAACTTTCCCTTTATTTTTTAGTAGTTTAACATAGTTTAAACATACGTTTAACATAGTACCGTACTATATTTTTTTCTCTGATGCTGCCTGATTGTGTACTTCCGATTCCAAATGAGATGTGTCATTGGCTGACATAACTCTGGTGTTCATAACTCTGAGGTTGCACTGTATTTTAATGTGTCAACACTAGGGCTTTTGCTGGCATAGCTATGTCAGTTAGGGGTGGTTTCACACTCCTAATCAATATAGTTATACCTACAAAACTTTTTAACTGTAGACCAGGCCTGACTGTATAATGAGTGAATATGTATTTTCTGATCAAGTTGGTCCTGAATATTTGATATACTTATTAGGACTAATATCTTCAATTGGCAGTAAAAATGTACATGGAGCCAGTATGGGGATCAGTGCACAGGACACAATGAGCTCAGGGAGACCCATCCCAATGAGCAGTTGGGTTTTTGTGTGCTGTATGACCTAGAACCTCTGTACTTCTTCCAGTGCACCTAATTACACCGTGAATTACAGTCTATTCTCCAGGACTTTGTCCAGATCAGTTTTAAATGTCCCAAGTGACAGCTTCCATCACTTTCTTTGAGAAACTATTCCACAGGTGATAACTACTTCAGTTCTGCCTGCCAGCCTTTAACTAGAAGAAATGGGCATTGCTGGGAATAATTTGCTTTTCGGGGGATCCATTCTGACACACTTGAAGTGCACAACAAGCTATAACACACAGCCTATTGTGCCTCACTGATTCTATATATAGAATGTGGACATTACACTGCTGTTTATGGGTCAGTTCACACTTTGAGTGCTAATACGTACATTAATTGCTGATAATAATACTTAAAATATTTTTTTACAAATCAGATTCCTGGTATATTTTGTCAAATGCAGTGTCCAAGAATCCGTAATTAACAGTGTCTCTGATAATATATACTGTATTGCAATACAGAGGATCACTATCATAAATAAAGGGAGACATGGATGAATTTATAATTAAAAATGCACTAGAAATTACAAGCATAATTTATTTACTAATGTGCACTGGAATATATTTTCTGTGTAATATTTTAAAAGTGGCAATAATAATAGTAAACAAAATATTTTTCAACTAAAATGTTCATAAATATTAGAATTAAATATGCTATACAATAACTGCAGCAAAATTCAAATAAAATTCTTTAAATAGGAAAACCAAATTTAAAAGTATCACAAATGGTATCTAATATAATCAAACAAATGAAAAATACACTACAAGTAATAAAGGATATTCATTTTTATAAAGCTCCTTTCAGATTAATTATTATAAAGAAAAGTGAGGTAGGCACAAATTTTAAATAGGTTTCTGAGAAGAGATCTGGGTTCTATTCCTAGCTTTACTATAGATTCCCTATGTGACCGTGCTGTAAATACCTGCTGATTTTTTAACAACCCTGGCACACACACAGTCTTCTCCATAGTTGAGGGGGCAAGCAGGTTACATTGTAAATCCACTTTTATGCCTCTTGTAACTTTGACTAATTTTCTTCCTACTTTGTAGAAAATTGGTTGGCCTTCACAATTAACCCAGCAATTTGCAGGCCAAAAGCCAGTTTATCTAGCCCAACTGTTCGAATTATAGGTCATAAAAAGATTTGGATCCCTCACCTCAGATACGGTTTGCTACTCCCTTCAAACTTTCCACATAGTTGAATGTAACTGAAAAACACATTACATATGATATAGAAGAAAAGAAGTATTTAAGAAAAGATAATGAACAATTGTTGCAACAAATTGTAATTATTATAATCTGTACATGAGCAGTTGGCACATATTATTTATTATTTGTATTACCATAGCAGCAATGATCCCTAGTCATGGACCACAACCCTTTTGTGCTTGGTGCTGTACAAACATAATAAAAGGTAGTCTCTGCCCCCAAGAACTTACAATCGAAGCATAAGACAAGAGGCCACAGATGGATAGAGACACATAGGGGAATACAAGGAAACCATGAGACAATATTGGTCAATATGACTGACTGGTTTCAGAGCACCAGTGGCCTAACTACTGTCCACATTTTTGTAGGCATCGTGGCAAAGGTGAGTTTTAGGAAGTTAATGAGGTTGCTTGGTGGATGTTTGCAGAGAGATCCTCCCAAGGGTGAGGGGCAGCACTGGCAAAGGCACAAAGGTACTTGTTTTAAAATTTAACAAGTGGACAATGGAGGCTGGTGTCAATGAGCAAGGTGGAGTTGACATCTTGATAGTGAATGAGAAATGATGTGTAGGATGGGGATAAGCCATGAAGGACCTTGAAAATGAAGACAAGTAGCTTATGTTTGATTTGATAGAGAAGAGGGTACCAGTGGAGGGATTCAAAGGGGTGACATGATCAAAGAGACAATCTAGGAAAAATGATCTTTGCAGCTGCATTTTGAATGGATAGGAGCAGGGCAGGATTGTATTTGCCAAGGACAGAGAAAAGGCAGAGTAATGTTTTGTAGAGCACCCCTTCTATGTCAGTGGGGCCATATGGCCCCAGCAGACCTATGAGCATCTGTGAGGTCAAGGTCTATGGCACAAAGCCCATTTCCAGGCATTAGTGGGATTTTCAGGCTGGTGGGGTCAATTTTCAAAGCTAGTCCCAACAAGGAAACAATAAAACTGGTCAGATCTCTTGGTACGGCCAAGGGCTGGGCCAAGCAGGGAGAGACTGGAAAGCCAGAAAAGGAAGGGTGGGAGGGCCAAGGGCACCTGTGACAACCACAAGGTCTGCAACTAACCCTGATTCATCACTAGTGAGGGAAAGGGGGAGCCAGTCACCCTATGGGTCCTGAACCCCAAAGACAGAGGGGGGAGGGAGAGTGGGGCATCCCACTGGCCAGAGCCCCAAGGATGGGGGTGGGGTTCAGCATGCGGAGCCGGGCATCCTGAACCCCAATGATGGGGG